TGTGTCCATACTTGTCTTGTTAGGCAGTGGACTTGTGTCCATACTTGTCTTGTTAGGCAGTGGACTTGTGTCCATACTTGTCTTGTTAGGCAGTGCTATCAGGACACTGCTGTCAGAAAACAAGTGTAGAAAGTTTAACATTGTTTCGGTTTGTTGGGTGCCTTCTGTCTGAGGAAAACATTATCCACACACATTTTCTGACTTTATCACACTCTGAAGGTCACATTTATCAGCTACATTTATAGATTTAATGTTTTTTTTAATTAGCAGAATACATTTTGCAGATATTACATTGAATATTTGATACTAAAAGTAGAGGGTGTCAGAGTTCTCCAAATCCTAATTTTTTTTTTTTTTTTTCGTTTAGAAGTATGCTACAGTTTAACTGATGTGTGTAAAAATACAATCAAATACAGTGGATTAGAAGAAGAGTGGGTGGCTGGGAGACAGTTTTTCAGTGATGAAAGTTTAGAATCACACTGAAGCTCTTTGCCTAATCTTTTTTAAACCTCTTCACAATACGTGACAAGTGTTGTGGTTCATTACACTGAAGTGGGAAAAACCCATCCATGGGGCTTTTAGTGGTTAGTCAGAATGGACAGGGGCAGGATGTGCCGCAGGCAGACGCAGCTGTCAGACGGAAAGGAAAGAAGGTTCTGTTTGAAGAGCTAAAAGAAGGGGTGAGACGAGTCTCATCCATGGGGGGTGATGTTCTTCACTCAGCGGACTGACAGGGGGTACCTGAGTCCCGAACATGGCACATCCCATCTGCAGGGATTAGTCTAAATGCTGGCAATTAGCCCTCTTCAGGACCACAGATCTTCTGATGGGATAACAGTAGGGTTTACCTGGACCACACACATAACCTCAGAGTTTTTACTGTCTTCATTTTCCACATTTTCTTCACAACTCTTCACTTCTGAAGTTATGAGACTCTGTAATTCATCACCTATCTAATTCAAGGATGTAAAATAAATATATCTAGGTTCATGCTGGCTTTGTTTTATTTGGACAGAGTGCACTGAAACAAGAAAATGTAACTTATTGTGTTGCTGGTTGTTTTAAGAGTGTGTCTTTTATGTTTTGCAGACTTGTGGTTGGAGCCAGCTGTATCCTTTGTCTGCCCTGGGGGCCATGGTGTTGAGTCTGCTGGCATTCAGTACACAAACAATACAGTTATGAATACTATAATAACACTGGTTTCAGACTAGTTTACATATAGAAAGCATTTGCTCTCATTTTAAATCGATAGTTCTAAATCCTGATTATCTTAGATAAAAACAAACATGAAATATTTTCCAATCTAGTTCAACCGTTTTGCATTAGACTAAATACTTTTTCATTTAATGCAGTAAAATGCTGTGATCCTGAACACTGTGTCACACAGATGTGGCTCTCGAGTGTGCAGGCTTTCTCACAGGCATCGGTTTGGACACCACAGTGATGGTTCGCAGCATCGCCCTCCGGGGTTTCGATCGGGTATTGCTTTCAGATATTCTTTCTGCATTATCTGAAATGCTAACCTGTCTGATTTTAAAGTTAGGTTATCTATTTGATTTCATACAGCAAATGGCAGGTCTTGTGACGGATTATATGGAGGCTTATGGGACCAGGTTTGTCTGGAACTCTGTCCCTAAAAGAGTGGACAAGCTGTCTTCAGGAGCCCTGCAGGTGATGTGGACAGACACTGAGACGGGCTGCGAGCACAAAGACACCTACGACTCGGTGTTATGGGCAGTTGGTGAGTTCACTGTTGTCCCCTCATTGTCATCCGTCAGAGTGCAGCGTCAGCTAAAAGCAGAAGAATCAAGGCTGGAAACAAAGTAATAAAGCCTGAGTGATGGGAATTGACTGGGGAAAAGTTAATCACTTGCTGCTGGTCCTCTGCTTGGAGCAGGGCAGGACAGAGCAGGATACATCCAGGCACAGGTCACCATGTTCCCCTCTTTGTTCTCCCCCCTACGCCTTCCTGGCTGTGCCATCCCTGCGGAAACCAACCACTCATCTATCACTGCCAGCCATGCCTGCAGCCATCCTCCTCCTTTCTCTGTTGTTTAATCAATTCTTCTTTTTCCACCAGCACTATGAGTAACAGTGGAAGGAACATCTGTCAGGGCCGCAGTCGTTGGTTTATTTGTGTTGCACGTTTTTCAAAAGTGGCACTTCCGAAAACCTGACTAGAAGCTTTTCATTTTATCGAAGAGGGTGGTCCCTTTGCTCAGTGCGTGGGACAGAGACAAGGATGTGCGTGACCCTACAACTGAGATGATGCTCATTCTTTCCTCTCGCGATGCCCTCGTTTCCCACACCGTCTCAGCCTGAGACAGCCGGTGAGAATGACAAGTCTGTCAGGGAATGCTTTGTCCTGCGTGAGATTCTGCATCTCGTGTTTCCTACAGTGCCTTGAAAAAGTATTCCCAGCTCTGGAACTGTCCTTTTCACATTACAGCCATAAACTTCAAAGTGTTTTACGAGGAGTTTTACATCTTAGACAAGCACAAAGTTGCACATGGACTTGAAGTGGAAAGAAAATGATACTCATTCTCCCTGACCATGTAGAACCACCTTTTGTTGGTATGTTTTATAAATCTAGAGCAGGGGTGGGCAACTCTGGTCTTTGAGGGCTGCTATCTTGTATGTTGTACTCATTTTCCAGCTCTAACGCACCACTTCAAGTTATGCAGGAGCTTAGTCATTTCCCAATTATTCAAATCTTTAAGAAAAGTCCAGTTTATATTGACCATACTGATATTATATCAGACACGMAGTACAGTATATTGAATACTTTTTAGGCACTGTAATATTTTGCATTTAGGCCAAAAGTTCAGTTTTGAACTGTTCTGAGCAGAGTACCATGTGTGCTGTGTCAAACTGCAGATGCTACTTCCTATGGATTTCTTTCAACAATAACACTTTTTGCCACTCTTCTATTAATTCAAAATTTGTCACGAAATAGTTGTCCTGTGGACAGATTCTCCCTCCTGAGCTGTGAATCTCTGCAGCTCCTCCAGTGTTGCCATGGGGCTTCTTGGCTGCTTCTCATATGAATGTTCTCTCTCAGCCTGTCAGATTAGGTGGACGGCCATGTCTTGGTAGGTTTGCAGTTGTGCCATTCTCTGTCCATTTTCAGATGATGGATTGAAGAGTTCTCTCAGATGTTCAAAGCTGGGGATATTGTTTTATAACCCAATCCTGCTTTAAACGTCCTAATAACTGACTTCTCTGATGTGTTCCTTGGTCTTCACAATGCTGTTTGATTACTAAACCTCTGAGGCCTTCACAGAACAGTTGTATTATCAGAGCTGCACATAAGCAGTGCGCAGGTGCGCATGCGCGGTCAAAAAAATGGTAAATGGACTGTACTTATAAAGCGCTTTTCTATCCATCCAGGACGCTCAAAGCTCTTCACACTACAATCAGTGTCCTCATTTACCCATTCACACAGCACTCTTTAGATCTCTACAAAGCTAACATGTACAATCATCTATGGAGTCTAATCAGTACCAATCACATTCATACACTGATGGGACACACATCAGAGGCATTAGGGGTGAAGTGTCTTGCCCAAGGACACAACAACTGAGACAGCTGGATGGGGGATCAAACCGGCGACCTTCCGGTACCAGGACGACTCCCCTAACCACTCTGCCACAGCCACCCCTAAAAAGAAAAAGCGCACCAGATGGAATGTCATGAAGCTCACTTGTGTACCTAAGATTGTACCTGATTGTCTGTCAAAACAACAGCTAGCAGGGCTCTAGAGTGCGACCAGTTTGGTCGCAAAGGCGACCTGATTTCCTAAAAAAAAATTAAAAATCCAGCTGCACTGGTTCGTTGTTCGGTGCTCACCAAGCCTCTTAGGGCAGCGGGACCCTGATATAAAGATTAAACGGACACTGCCTTCAACAAATCAGACGAAGTCCAGAGCCTTTTTATCCAATCACAGCTGAGCGGGGCGGGACCTTCAGTGAGAGCAAATTTGGTTGAAGCTGCTGCAGCTGGCTGCAACGGTCAGTCCTGACTCCTCCTGCACTTTACTCCTGAACTACCAGAGACTTTGGTCTGTAAAACCTAACTTGACATTAAATATACATATATTCAGGATGTTGTTATCGAACAGATCTGTCCAACTCTGTGTGAGTGACTAAACTCTCCTTCTGTTGAGAGACTTCTGTGATGGGAGCACATCACTGCGCACGCAGGCTGAGTCTTTCTGTGAGATTCACTGTTTACAGAACATTTGTTTAAAGCAAAGATGCTTATCTGTTTAACTTCACCCCCATCAAAAAAATTATATATTAAAAAATAAATAAAAACAACTTGCCATGTTCTCTAGGTGAATGAGTTTTAAATGTTATTTTAATTTATCATAAAGATCCACAAATTTCATTCACAATTTTATCAAAAAACAAGGTTCTTGATGTAAACTTGTTTATATTTAGGACCATAATGTGACACAGCTTTTCTGGGATAAATGCAATTTATTAAATGATCAAATATGAAGAATAAGTAATTATATGAGCTGAAACCATCTAAATAATATAATATTTTTGAATAAAATAGTCTTTTAAAAAAGAAATCAGTCTAACAAATAAAACATTTGTATGTTTTAAGTTGTTTTGCACTGTGCAAAAGACAGATATTTGCTGCTTGGGCTGGAGAGTGTGGAAAGCTGGTTTAACCAAGACCAAAGTGAAGACCAAACTACAAGTTGTCCATCTGAGAGACATGTGTAGTCAAAAAGACATTTAACCATGAAATGTTCAGTTTGTGATGTTTATATGACATACACACAGCCCCTCAGCCACTTAGGTAGTTTACAAAATTTATGCAGGGTAAAAAAAATAAATAAAAAACTTGTTGGACTGTTTTGGCATGATGTCCTGAGACGTTGCAGCTGATAGGAGYCATAAAACAGAACAGGGGGACGTTAGATGCCCTGACGCCCATCTAGATAAATGTGTTAAATGAGTGAAGGAAAATATGAGCACCAAGCAACAACCCTAGGTTCTCCCCTGAGAACCAGACCAAAATTTTATGTGCAACCCTGTGTATTATTGTTGTATTAAATTACCAGATTTCTTAATCAGGTGACTTCTGAAGGCAACGGTTATAAAGGCATCTTTAAATTCACCTCAGATTTGTTCAGAGCAGTTGTAAAAGCTGGTTTAATGTTCCTTTTTGAGAATCAGTAAAAATGTGGCCTCTTTGATGTGTGATCACATCAGGAATGAGCACAAGTTCACTTCCCCTTGCTGTAGCTTTTCTCCAGAAGCCGGGCAGGGTCCCAGGCCTCTGTGGAGTTATTAAAGGCCAGAGGGGACCAGGGGACCGTATCATCACATCCTTCTCCATGGCTGCATCTCCATCCATCTTTCCCCTCCTTCCTGACCTCACGGCTGCTTCCCTGTCCAGGTGTGGCCCTGCAAATACAGCAGGAAACAGAACGTTTCCAAGCTTCCTGTCTGCAAACTGGCAATGAGCACATTAGTCCCCTCCCTCACTGCCTTGTACAGTGCTCAAGGATGTCATTAAAAATGATTTCCTTTTTTTAAAAGGGTATTTGCTTGTCTGCTTTACACAAGCAGCAACTTCCTAAAATCATTAAGCTTGTGTGGAAGTGCCTAAAGTTCCTCAAATGGCCACTTGGGACTGACTCCAGAAGCAGATTACCTCTTCAGATAGTAAATAAAAGACAGTCTGCAACAACACACATCGTGTGTTAACAACAATCACTCACTTCGCTCTTTATGTGTTACTGTAGGGGTGCTACCATCTTAGAGTTTAGCTTGATATCTGTAAAATTAACCAACTTAAAGCCAGTTTTGTTTTGGTCATTGTTAGTCAGCTGTGATACCCATCTTGAATGTGATTGACTTATAAGTAAATCAGTTGCAGATGAAGATGAAATTATTTGAGTTTCAATAATCTTGCAGGTGATAGCCAGAAGGCTTTGTTACAGAAGTGGTTCCACAAGTTGGGTTTGGGTTCCCAGTTGGAGTTATAAAACACTGAGTTCTTAAGTTCATCTAAAAAATAATAATAACAAATTCTTATAGCATGTTTTCTCAATAACAGTAGTAATAATAAAATATTTCTTGATGCTCTTTGTGTTTTCCTATCTTTAAAATCTTCAGCCTGAAACAGCTGAGGTTGGAAATTTTTGCTACTGTTATTTTGTGGATTTGTCTCAGAACCACAGGTTAAAATTACTGAACTACTCAGAATGACCTTCTCATACTGCTGCATAGCTTCAAACCTTGATACATTTTAAACTCAACTCCCCCCTTATGTTTCTAAAAAGGCATTTTTTTGTAATCTGTTCTCACCATTGTGTGTGTCCTTGTGGAACATTCTAAAACAGATTGTAACCCACAATAAGCTCTGTCTGATCATCTACTGTAGATCAGTGGTTCCCAACCATTTTTCCTCAAAGCCAGGCTGAGCACCCAATACCCTCAAATAAAAGCTGAAAGTCTGGACTTTATGTCCTTGTCTATTATGTAACTATAACTTTAATGTTTCAGTAAAAAGTGAAAAAAAAAAAACTACTTTCTTGTCAGTTTCCAAAAAGATATGGACCTAACTGTATGTCTGAAAATGCATCTTGTGTTTGAACACCACATCAAAATTCACAAATGGAAGAATAACAACATGAATGTGTTTTAAGGATAAACTTTGTCAGAAAAATCATCTGTAACCAAACCTGAAAGATTCCAATGATTTAGCCTGATAAGTCAA